CTATTTTACTCCCAAGGCCCAATCTCAAACCTCCGAGAAAATCATTACTGGAACCTCGGTCGTAGTCCCACACGGTCAGCTCTAGGACACGGTTCCTCAGCTCGTCAATCGTCAAGTTTTCATAACAGAAGGCGTGGTTCCACACAGGGTTGAGGTTCTTTTTGACCACCTGAGTTTTGTGTTTGGTCTTTTTGCTTTGGTCTGGTAAGAGGTAACTGATGGCAATGTGCAAGTTAAGCTTACGTGAAGCAACTTAAACATTGATGGCAATCCGTCACTCACAAAAAAGTATAACATTCCAAACCATGTATTGTCAATAAGTCTTCGTTACGGAAACCTATTCTTTACGATGTAACAGATTAATAAGTTAAATTAATTAGATTAATAAGTTGCGTCGGGCGGCGAGAAATAAACTTAACTGAAACTGGTGAAAGTAGATAAGGGGTGTAGCAAGAGATTAAGGATGGAGAGGTGTGGCGGTAGAGTTGCACACTAGACTAATCGCTGTCCTTCTTGGCAAACTTAGTCAATCGCGCAGAAAAATTTAATTTACTTGTCATTTACTTATGCCTCACGCGACGGACTAAGGCAACAAAGAAGGACTGCCCTCATTCTAGTAGCACACGAGTTCCTTTTGGCATAGCATCAGTGAAGAGGGTATGTTAAGTACATGATTATCATGACCTCATGAATATAGTTGACACTCAAGTAAATGCTAAAAGTACCATCATAAACAGTGCTACGGAGTTAAGAATGTTACAAAAAGTCAATACAACAAAAGAGGCTCCTGTAGGTTTGATACGGGGTTTGATACTGATTTTTCGTTAAAGTAAGAATTTGGCTTTTTGCAACCACAAGCAGCTAAATCCTTAAAAATATGAGTAGTGATAATAAAAGCAGTGGTAATCGGTAAAATAAGAGTAATACTGGCGGTAAAAGTGATGATAATGATGAATTATTCACAAAAGTGGAGGTGAATATTGGTGATTTAATTTTTTAAATAGCACTTGCTATTCACTTCTGAGCCAGCCAATCAGCGCGCGCGAAAAGCACTATTCACCAGTGTGATATATCCTAGTAATAATTCACCAAGGTACATCTTTTATCACATTCGTGCTGTTATTCCACACTTTTTGAAGTCTTTCACGACAACTTGCAGCATCTATACTAAATATTCACAGGTTTTTTCTTCACTCCTGGTCGATGGCAAAATTTTGATATCAAAATCATATTCAACGGTTGTTGAATCAACCATGTCAGGATATTTATCGTACACCACAAAACACTACACATTTTTATGATATGAAGTTCAAATCACCAACTTTTCTACGGTGAAAGCACTGATTCGTGGACACAAGAAAGCTACAGCAAAGAGTTACTGATCGCTTAAAGCAATTTGAATTTGGAAAAGAAACACACAGCAACGAATGAAATATTGCCACATGCAGTTAGGGTTCAACGTGACAAAGCGCTTGATCTGTAATACTATTATAAACTATTGTACCAATAGAAAAACTAAGAAACGGAAACCAGGTGTTGAAACATGGTTTATCTCACGAGTTATGAATAATTGATGCTGCGATTCGATGAATAAATTTTTTCAAGCATTGACCTCGTTCATATCGAGCAAGCACTTTTCAAAAAATCTTTGCGAAAGGCTTTTTTTTTGGCTTCAAAAAGGACACAAAAAAAAGGAAGGAAAATACTCTTGAGAAAACTTCAGGTAAAATGCGAAATAACACAAGGAGGTGTATTAAAAAGCACATCTGTAGGCAAATGATTCTAACAATAGCATTGAGGTATTTCGAACAACAATAAAGTAACAGTAAAAACACAAACGTGCAAGACAGCCTTGGCCAGCAGTTACAGTTAACGTTCAAGCAATACTTTAAAACTAACGTTTTCTGTTCGTTACATCAAATTAAAAAAGGAGGAAAAAAGTAAAATATGCAAGTTTATCAGGCAGCATGTTACCGAAGTTGTCCTGTTACGCTTTTTTGTCGGAATCCTGCATCATACAATAGCGTGAGGTCGATCGAACATATATGACGCAGATCGGAAAAGCCGCTTTATCTCTACTTTTAACAACCAATTTACGACGGAAGTATGACAAGACCATTCTTCCGGACTAAAACAGAAACTAAGAAAACAAAATTGCATTGTTTGACGCTTTGCTGGCCAACCTGTCAGAAAGATCCAAAAAATAAACCAAAAATTCGGTGAAAATATTGAAATATTTTCGATATACTTTGGACAGTCAACATAAGCTACAGCAGAATTCAGGACAATTTAACAAATAAAGTTCGACGACAAAAAGACAAAACGAAGTTAAACGTAAATTTGATAGAGCAAGAGCGATAGATTGTCGTAAATACAAATGAAGGGGATAAGAAAGAGCCACAGTCTAAGACAATTAAAAAAAATGAACGAAGAAACGACTTACAGCTCGTCCACTCAATCTCTTTTGCGAAATGTGTGACAATAATGGCAGTTTCCCCCTTGAAAAGTGCTTATAGAATTGAACGTAAACCAAAATAAGATCACACTATAGTGATTGTTGTTTGTCTGAGTAATTCGCTTTTATAAACGACAACTTGTATACACAGATGTTTTAGCAATGCAAATGAACCACAGTAGCGGAAATTAGCGGAAGCGATTTGTGATGTTCACAAATTTTTTAATATTTACAGTTAGCAGACAGAATAAGCTGGGTATGTTTAATTTTTAAAACATAGTCTCCACAATATAGACGCATTCAGTCCACAGAGTAAAACATTTTTGGTATCCAAGGGCAACCGAAATATTAGTAGAGACTGGTTTGACGATGCCGGCAATGCTTAAAAGAGGAAAGTGAAAATTTAAGGTATATGCTAAGAGAAAACAAGAATGGTGAATAAAACCGGGAATATTCGACACAATGTTATTATTGAGACACTCCACCCGATAGGAAAAGAGCGGAAAAAAATCAACAATCTTAATTCAAGTTATGAAAGTAATCATGCATTTCTGGCCCTTTAATGTCAATGACGCCACTCTGATAGTTATCAAAACTTTTGGATCGAATTCTAATCTTCAAGAATTATTCATTCAGATTTTTTTTGGTCTTGAACTAAACGAAAACCGAGCAAAAGTTTTGGCGCAGGAATACGTAAAGGTCTAATTTCATCAAAACAAAACAAAACAAAAATGTAACTCAACGCACATTAGGAAAGGCAGGTAAAATCAAAGCAACCGAAAACCAACTGCAGTGAACTAAACGAAAATACCCGTCCGTTAAAAGCCAAGTATATTTGCTAGTTTTTACAGAGTCCAGATGCAAATGCTCAACTGAGAGACAAAGAATTCCCAGAAATCCAATCAATGCTATTGCCACAAAAGACTTTCAAAAATTCTCAATCTAGCTACATGTAAATGTAAACGAGACGAACTCTTTTGCCAAGTTGAATTAATTACACTGCGCAGATGGCAATTCTAAATTAGTCTGACAGTAATCAGTAGCCTAATCTGTTTTGCTGGGCAATATACACTACTCTCTTAGCACTGACCATCATCTGGTTAATAGAGTGGCACAATACGATTTTTATCATGCAATACGATGGAAGCAAAACACACCCAAAAAAAAATACCTCAAAAGAAAATTTTTCAAAAGAGCTTAAGTAAAAATTGATCTTCACATAGTTTCTTCACGTTTTAGGTAATACCACGCAAAGTATAAAAGGTCACAGTATATAACGACTTGACTCCTTTAATTCAATGTCGCAGCCACAAAGGTACTTAGATGGACAATACTCTTACAAAACGCAGAGAGAAGGCATAGCAGGTCCCGCGAGACAGATCACATACATAAAGATGTGCGGATGTGTTCTTTCATCGTGATCGCGATGGATAAAAAAAAATTAACCGTTCGTGTCACGACATAATCACTGTCAATCGTGGAGTTTTTCAAGCGACATGCGAATTATAAGCGACCTTAGGCCTTACCGTTCGAGATCAAAATCGGGACCCAGTTCTTCAAAGGGCAGATAACGCCCCACAACAGATAAATCGCTACCCAGTGGATAAGTGTTGACGAAACGTGTTGAGCTATCCACCGGAGAGAGTTTTACCCAGATCCGTCAGTAGTAACCGAAAGTGAAGAGAATCTTAATTTTCTTAACAACATCGACACAAAGTATGCAAGTCGTAAGAAGAAAGAACATGATCTTAAGTCTTGATTGCTTAAAACGTTCAAGTGCTTAACGCAAGAGGAGGAGTCTGCTTTTCAACACTCTTGAAACTACCTTACTTTTTCCAGTTTACTGAAAGCAGGGACCAAGTTAGTAGGTCAAGGTGTAACTTAGGGGCAAAAATTTCAGGTTTGAGGAAGCATTATTCAGCACTAACCTAAGCAGGTGGAGGGGGAGGGGGGGGGGAATCAGTAGTTGTTCTGTATGGAGGGCGGGCGATGTAACATGAGGTTATAAAGATCTTTACAAGGACCCCTTCACGTAGGGCGTTTTGTCTTAGTATTAAAATCTCGTCGCCACTAACGACAAATTGACGCTAGGCGCCTGGATTAAAACAACAACAACAATAATAATAAGTCTCCGTTCTCGACTTAAAAAAATGTATGTGTAAGCCACACGGTTCTGTGGAGAAAATCGACAGAGCGGGGGAGTGGAGATAAGCGCAGGGCTGGAAAAGAGGCAGAGATAGAAATGCCTGAATGGGCACGTGCTTGTCACATTTCGACTCGGCAGCATGAAGCGTGCGCGTGAATGAATATGAGCTGGTGGTGTAAAATGTCAAAATCTACCAATCAGAGAATACACCAGAGGGCGACAATCCAAAAATTACGTGTTAAAATAATGCTTACAGGTTGATTTGTCTTTCACTTTCCCGGAACGGCTGCCGATTCTTTGGCTAACCTCCTTTATCAAACTTCTCCACTGATCGAGAACCTGACGCAAGCTAGTTTCAAGATATGTACATGTTCGTTGTTATATTTAACATAAAAGTACCTTTTACAAAAGGGGTCCGAGAAGCCATTGGCATCCTTGGCAGGTAAGTTCCGTGCTTCCTTCAACTTGATATGTAATTTGCCGCCGGATTTCTTCTTTTTCTTCTTGTCTTTAGACGACTCCTCCGGTCGTTCAAACATCAGTGACACCGTCAGATCTCCACAGTACGACATTAGGGACGGTTCTGGTCGCTATGGTTCAGGAAAAAAAAAACAAAAGCAGCAAAGTCACATACCTGTACGATATGTCTACCGCAAGGTTATCCTCCAACACTTTTTGGCTGATTTAACAGCTGTAGACAATGTGAAACAGTGCCACTCCCTCTAACATAAGAGCTGTGTGGCCTACTGTCAAGGGACTGCACTTGCAATCTGAAGTCTTGTATTCTACTCCACGCCATGTCGCGGGATGAATTTTTACTCACCCACTCTAGATAAGACTCCTCGCCAAATTCCCACCCGTTGAATTTTCAACAAGTTTCTATTACAATTACGGAATAAGTCATTCGTTTGACATCTTTGTTTATTAACGCTTATGGTCACCACTTCTCCCCCGTGAATAGTATGACAGGAAAATAACGTTACTGGGACAGTACGTGCACTCAGGCTGATCAGAAACAAATAGTTTTTCTTATCGTTAAGGCCACAGACAGAAAAAAAAAGACATTTCTCAACTGGACAAAAAACTTTAAGATCGATGGGCTGCCATTGATTCATAAACTTTTATCTCGTTCTCCCAACTAGCCGAGTGGGTTATTGAGCCAGGAAACCGAGAGAGATAAAGCGAGTTCATTGTTTAGATGAACTTACTCTCTCTCGTAATGGATACCAGTTGGGTGACGGATCATCCCAGCTGAAGCCTGAGTCCTGATAAGTATCAAGAGGCAACATCACTTCCCCCAGGAAATCATTATGTCCAAACGTGTCGTGATTCCACAATGCAAGCCACAGGGTACGTGTCAACATCTCCTCAAATCCAATCTTAAACTATCATGAAGGGAATAAAAATCAAAAATAGATTAAGCTAAACATTGCATAGAGTTCTAAACAATACAGATTTAAAAAAAGGGCCTTGTTAGCTTGCTTTGTTAACATTAACCCTTTGACTCCAAGGAGTGACCACGACAGAATTTCTCCTTACAATATCAAGCAGACAAGTGGTGAGAATAAAGAAAACTTTAATTAGGGGATAAGGTTTGATCCAATACCAAATTCTCCCAACTAACATCATAAAAATTGTACGTCAGACAGTAAAGAGAACCACTATCGGCGGTGAAAGGGTTAATAAATCGGTAAATGTACCATTACGTTATTTTTCCGCCTAATCCAAGTGGTCGTCGCCAATAACGTTACATAAAGGTTTTTCACGCCCATATATATGGTATTTTCAAGTTATTCGATTGTGCACATAACCTGCTTGTGTGAATCTCCTTATCTTTGTTACTTCTGGGTTTATATTAATCTATCGCTTCTTAAGTTGGATACCTGAATAGGACCAGCAAAAACTTCTCACATATTTACCGTTAAAATTTCGTCGAAATCTGGATTCAATGTATTTTTTCTTGTCTTGGTCTTCTTTTTGCCTCCCTTAGTTTTATCAGGTAAAAGGTACACTTTAGCATACCTATGGACAGATGAAACTTATTTTGAAACTTCAAAGGAGAAAAATAAATCAAAAAAGTAAGCGGCCAAATCCTTGGTTACGAGACAGCAGTGAGTAATATAGGCCCAAGACACAAGGTTGATCTCTGCTCTTTGCCTTAGTCCTTGTCTAGATGAAAGATCCTTGGATTTAAATTTATATTTGTCCGCGCAAAGAACCAGTTGGAAGTTAGGAAAAATTCGGTAACATTTCGAGGCTAAACCTTGATGAATATACAAGGGTTTCCTCTCTACCGCCGCCTGTAAGACCTCTTACCGCAGACTGACTAGCCTGCGCACAGGCTCTCCTGTTTGGGTTTTGCCTTACAGACCCTTTTCGGGCAAAGCCGCCTATCACATCATCGACAGCCGCTTATGGAAAAAAGTATTGTCCTTTAACATAAACAGTAGAACCTATCTAACTCGAACTCCCAAGGAAAACAAAAAAGTGGATCGAGTTAGCGGGGATTCACGTTAACTGATAGTAAATGACTGAGAAAATGGAGTTGAGGGAAATCGGATCTTGTTCTAATTAGCGGGGTCCTACTGTACTTAAAAAAACGAAATGTGAAACATTTTTGTATCAGTTTTAGACACAGTTCAAACTTTAACGACTATGGAATTCTGAATGTGCTCCGAAAAAAAGTCCGCTGGAACTCAACAGTGCAATATTAGGAGGAGCTTGTTTATTGCAGAACAATGCATCAGAGCTTCATTTCATATTTACTTACGGATCTGACCGTCCCCTCTTTGGGTCTGCTGCTGCGATATCTTTAGCTCTGTGAATCTGAATTTCCAGCTGCTGTTTGTGTTTGTTGTACTTCAATCCGAACAGCACCTCACCTGTGACTGTTACGTTGCCAAACCGACCCTCACCTGCATCGCTGTAGTAACTTACTATACTCTCTCGACTGCCCTGTAAGGTAGAGAGAATTAGTATTCTCATGTGAACATGAGATCATCTACTACGGTAAAAGCTAGGTAACACTCTGGAAACTTTTTTTTGACAGTGAAAAACACGTGATTACAAAATCAATATAATATCAAGCAGACAAGTGATGAGAATGAAAAAAAAAATATCACTAAGGGGTTATCAGTTGACAATATACCAAATTCTCCACACTAGCATCATAAAAATTATACAGCAGACAGTAAGGAGAATTACTGCTGAGATCTTCGGAGTGAAAGGATTAAGATACAAGTATCCATGTAGTTTTTTCTAACCATAGCAAGAATGTTAAGCTGCTCTTGCAGTGTTTTCGTTTGTCCACTAGGGTGTTCTCGTTCATAACTTGCAAAAGCTTGATCAATGTCATCCTCCTGTGTGGGTGTCCTGTAACCCTCTTCTGGCTCTACACCGTCATCAGGATCTGTGCATGTGATCTCAGGGTTGATAATAGTCACATCCCCAGGGTTGTCTGCATTAAAAAAACAAAAAACGTCCTTATATCGACCAGAGAATAGATGAAACATAAGAAATTGGGAATAAGTTAGTGATTAAGTCAGTCAGCCAGCCAGTTAGTAAGTTGGCCAGTCAGTCAGCCAGTCAGTTGGCCTGTCAGTCAGTAAGTTGGCCAGTCTGTTGGCCTGCCAGTCAGCCAGTCTGCCAGTCAGTCAGTAAATTGGCCTGTCTGTCAGCCAGTCAATTATTAAGTCGGCCTGTCAGTCAGCCAGTCTGTCAGCAAGTTGGCCTGTCAGTCAGCCAGTCAGTCAGTCAGTAAGTCAGCCTGTCAGTCAGCGAGTCAGTCAGCCAGTAAATCAGCCAGCAGTCAGCAAGTTGGTCAGTAAGTCAGCCACCCGGTCAGTCAGCAAGTCAGCTGGTCAGTCAGTCAAGCAGGTAATAAGTCAGCCTGTCAGAAAGTCAATCTGTCAGGCAGCTGGCCATCACATAGTCAGCCAGTCAGTTCTATCAGTCAGTAAGTCAGCCAGATATGAAGGACAGGGGTGAAAAGGTAGCCAGGTATCTAATAGGGACTCACAAATTACTACATAGAAAATTAATCACTTCATTAAAAATCTAAAATTGAAATGGTAGGATTTAATAATTCACCTATCAGTGAACCATTTAACCTGTCTTACATAGAAACAATCACTCATTCAGTTTATAATTCAATCAGTGAGTCCATCCATCAAACAATCAGCTAAACAGGTAGCATACAAGGTGCTATAACCATATTAACACAGATCTTGAAAAATAACAGGAAATGTTTTCTGCAATGCAACAGTAGCATTGGCCTCATAATTGATTCATGGTAACAACCATTTTACACAAGTTGACCAGATAAGTAGGTCTACCAAAGGCAGGAAAAATCATAAAAAACTTAAAAATGCATGACTTTACAAAGTAGTATTTCAGTCTTTTCCTAAGGGATGAAATGCTAGTAGAGATCATCATTGGTGCAGCCTAGCATGTTACTGTGGGTCTCATATTTAACACTTCTGCTGCTTAGTGTCTTAAAATAGCTATCAGTACTTTCAGCTTGGCACCAAAAGGTATTGTAAGTCACAGCATGTGAATACAATCAGCCCTCGGTATAAATTGTTCATGTTCCATTGAATGCACTGACAGTAAAATTATTTACTCATCAGAAGTTGCTTACCATCCTCATCGAGTTCTAACACAGGAGTTCTGGCTCCTTGCATCGGTGTGACATCTCCAGCATCCTCAAACACATCAGATGTGGAACCTGAACCCATCCCTTCACTTGCTCCATAATCTGAGAGAGCAGGTGTCCCAGGTCCTGATTGTAGAGGAGTGGTAAGGGGAGTAAAAAATTCACCAGTGGTCTCTGAATCAGGTGAAGCTGGTCTCACACTGAGGAACTTGTTCTGCAGATAGGTGTCTGATACTGGCTGGTCTATTCCACCCCACTCATGTGCTACCTCATGCCATGATGTTTTAATTTCAACAACAGCATCATCTTTGGACTGTTCACTATCAAGGGCAGGACTCTCTTCACCCCCATTGATGTTCCAATCATTCACTTTTTCTTCATAGTCCTGAGGTTTTTGCACATGGTATCCATTATAACTGAGGTCATCTTCCTTTACATCACTTCCAGTCATTTCTGGCTCATAGTGTTCTTGCGACTCATCTTCTTCTTCTTCATTCTCTCTGGTAGTACTGTCATCTTGCATTTTCATACTGTCAAAGACTGTCTCTTCTTGATTAGCAACTTCAACAACACCATTCTCTAGAATATTGACTGGTGAGCCTGTAATTAAAATCTTTCATTAAGATGGATGACTGCTTTCCATCATTACTTAAAGAGTCAGTGACTGATGACATGCGGTGCATATTGAATGATATACTATCCAGTGACAGAGATTTTAAAATGTAGTATATGCAAGAAGATAATGGGTCAAAGGTGCTTGTGACAGATTTTCATTCAGTCTCATAAAGCACCTTGCCACATCAACAGAGAATTATTTTAATAGATTTCCTTAGGGGAATGAAAGGCATGTGAATGCAGACTAGGACATGATAAAAACAATGGCTATGGACTGAAAATTGGCCCAGATACATGCAGTCTGCTTTCCAAATTCTGATTCTGAAACTCCACAGAGCACTGGCACCACACTGCGTACACCTTCCACACACAGTACTGACATTGGTGAACTGTCACCTGGTGAGATCAACATCTGCTACTCAACCATGTAGTTTACAGTACCCACAGTTTTTGAAGATGCAGCAGCATAAAAGGTGGGAATTGAATAAAGGAAAAACACACCACCAAGTAGAAGTGCAGCAATGAGATTCACAAGTCCCACAGCTTTATGTAATCACTAACAACAGTGAAGAATGAAATAAGGTCTGATTGTACTATTTAGTAATTATTCTTTTAAGTTCAAAAAAGCACTCACTGACAATTGAGTGGAATTAATCTTTGCTATATAGAGAATTTATAATTATTTAATATAAACAAAATTAAATTTAAATGATACCATTTGCAGGCTCAGTAACCTTGACAAGAGTATAATACTTTTTCTTACCTCTTGGTGTAGAACTCTGAGATGATGATGACAAATTTTCTTGTTCATCTGTATCATTTTGATCCTCCTCTGGTTTCCGTTGAACTCTGTTAGCCTTCACATATTGCCTGTAGTTTTGATTTACCTCTGCCAATTTCTTCCTTTCTTCCTCTTCTTCCAAATCTTTTTCTGGCAAACGTGACATGTGTACTGGGACAGGTCTATGAAGCTTGCCATGATTATTAAGGTTCAATGAGATCACAGGAGGAGAGCCTGGGTCCTCTGACATAAACAACATACAAGAAAATTTGAATATCTTCAATATTACACAATCATGTTAAAAAATAAACAGGAAAACAATTGTTCACTAGTTGACACATCTAATGAAAGATGTTTCCTGTACTGTTCAATAATCATACGATAATCACTCTGACTTTAAAAAATTGCATCTTTAACAGTTACCCGGCAATTGAGGAATAGGCATGGGAGACACTGGTAAAGGACAAAACCAAAACCAGATTTTTCTGGTTTCTATTTTACAATGCAAAAAGTAAAACTTTTGTTCAAAGTATGAATATCATTTGTTGTAAGCATTTTCCCCCAAGCACATTGAATTCTTATTTCCAGAAAACTGATACCATTTGTCATCAACCCTTTAAGATACAGCAGTAACTTGTATTGTGTCAGAGTCTCCCTCTGTGAGAGTGCTGTGCAAGGAATGACAACTCTGGGAACAAGATTTTATAATTGTCTTTAAATCTTATGAATCAAACAATGGAAATGTATAGTAATTACCACCAAGTGACTGGGGTTGAGGTTTTGCCCTCCTAAAGGATGCACGCACCAATGCTGAGCCAAAAAGACGTGGCCTATCCCCTTTTCTCTTCTCTTGCTCAAAAAACCATGCACCAGATTCAGCCCTTACTTCCCTAAAATATCAAACAGAAATTTGCCAAAATAGAGTAAATAAGAGAAAGTAATTTACTGAGCTGTTTTATTCATTCCACCACAAGGCACAAGTGAGTTAATTATTAAAATAAATACCTCACACAAACCAAGGTTGAGATCCACACTGTATGTTACAGACTATACGTTCTTTTTTTATTTTTTGCGCTTGGATTTATTGCCCAAGTAGGAAAAGCATGGGCCAGAAGAAAAACTGAAGTTCAGTAACTCACAGTACATACTGGGAAATGTGTTTAGTAAAATTTTATTATATCACTTGGTTTAAATAGAAGGGGAGGATTTCAATTCAAATAAACCTTTCAATTTAGCAGACCTTATAGTGAAATACAGCCTGCTAAATTGACCAATCATAGCAAACCTACTTACTGAGAGATTTAATTAATCGACAATATCCTCCTGAGATAGAAGATATCAGACAGTGCAAACCCCTTAAAAGAACTCCTAATTACAACAAATTCAGAGTTAATAGTTTTTTTTCTTTTTCAACAAGAAGTTATTATTATCACTTTTCAGGATAAACAAACATTCAAATCAGCGTAAGAGTCACCATAGATACCATACATAAATGCTGGCTTGATTTTGCCTTGGACTTAAATCATGCAATAGCAATTTAATTGAAATGTAATTAACACACGACAAAGGTGAAAAACAATCTTTAAATAGAAGTTATGTCTCAAAGCAACAGCCTGGAATGCGGAATTCAACAAATAATTTTCCGTTGGACGTCATAATACAGAAAAGTAATAAGTAAAACACCATCACGAATTTATCCGCGGTGATCTCTTTTTTTTCTCATTGATGTGATGAACTTTATCTTGTTCTTAATTTTGTGGTGACAGCCATGTTTACAAACTAATTTAGCTTTTAGTGGCAAATTAAATATTCCCTTGAGATAACAAGGAAAGTTGATTTATTGACGGCGACCCGCTGGGTATAGATACTCGCTGACTATACCGATTGTGCTTGAGTTATTAACATTAGTTACACGGGACCAATATCACCGACACATTTTCTGGTGGAGCGTCTTTCGGTATTATTTAAAAATGGTTTGAACTTACGTCTGATATACCTTAATCGCGAATAAGCATCATTTCTGAGAAATTTTAAGTGTTTAACAATGTATAGTGGAAGACCCCTAATTCCTTGTTGCCTATTATTGTCACTATTCAATACATCACCTGATCTTTGCACACAAAATACAAAGCCACGTAGCAGTAGTCATTTTTCGACATTCTTTACAAACTCGGCTTTCGCATTTTGGACATAGGGCTCCACTGTTCAAAATAAAACCAAGCGGTGCTCGACATCTTGCACAAACACGAGATGATTCGAGTTCCTCTTTACTCGCTCCCTTCTTCTTTATTTCATCGAGTTCATTCTTTAACACACTACAAGAAGTAACGGTTGGTGCCATATCAACAACAAAAAATAATCTCACGGCATTACAATGAATAACTCACGAATGATATTGCGTGTATAAATGAAAATATTAGACAAGGATGAAAGTGTGCAGCCTGTGAGATGTAAACCAAACATTGATTTTACCAAAGTTTACCTTATACGACGTTTTTCTTGTTTTCGAAGTTCCTCGTCCTTGGCAAGTACTTGAAGAATGGCATCCCTTTCTGATTCAGTAAGGTAGTTTACGTCGATATAAATATCGTCCGACATAATTATTAATTAGGCAGCATAAACTGCACAAATGGAGCACCAAAAATTTTGAACGCTCGCAAATATTAATGTGTTTGATCTTTGATTCATCAGTCTGGCAAAAGAGCAACACCTAAATTTTTGCGTATGCAGATGGAAAGCCTTCTTTCTTGCTTAATTTACATATTGCAAGCAACGATGCGTACAAATTGAAGGGAGGAAGTGTAAAAAATTTTAAAATAGCCACCAACCGCCAGCGTAGTGGTTTACGAATCTATTGTTTGAACCTTCATCAGATATGAAGTGTACTATTTGCATAATTTATGCAACCATCCAAATAATTGGAGGGGATAGGTGGGAAGGGAAAATTTCGTTGTCCTTAATTTATTCGGAATCTCGTAACATGATCGTTTCTATGATTGATTAACGTAAAAAACATATTTTGTCAGTAACACAGGAGAAAAATTATTAATCGAAGGAGAGTTCTTTTTTTCCCAATTTATTTTTAGCCAGTTTTTATTAAGCCTTACATCATGTGTTCAAATTAAAATGGTGGATTTTGTGTAATAAATTTCCAGAAGAAAATTCTGATCAGAGTTATACTTGAGAAATTTGTCCATGAAGTTTTATTGTAGAGTACCCTCCCCTCCCTGGTCACTCATAAGCCACGGACAGTCTGGGACTGAAAATAGCGGCTGGTGTTGGTTTCCTATAAGGGCTGGAGATTTGGCTTTACGTTTTACTCGAAAAAAGCTTGCCTTATCATGCTTGGGAGAGGATTTTCATCATTAAGAGCCGTAAATTCCTTAAAGAAACCGGTATGCGATGCTTTGAATGCTTTCCAAGAACTCTTTCTTGCATATGATCTGAAAAAAGTGTGACCTGCAAGCTGCTCTCCTACACTGACAGTAGAGTAGACATTACTTTTGCTAGGATTGGTTTTGATTCCAACAGTTAATGCCTTGTTCTAAAATTGTGCCTATTCAAAGGCGTTCTACCTTTTCGTCCATTTATGAAAATTTACAGAAGTGTTTTAAAAGTTTGAATAATCAAGGGTTGATTGTGAGCGTAGAAACTGGCTCGTTCGTTCCCTTATGGTTCTACGACAGATCACATGAGGGAAGTCAGGCGAACCTAATAAAAAATGAAGTTATATTCACTTTGTTGATTTATGGATTTCAGTTTTTAGGGTGGCTTACTGGCTCAAGAGGATTAGCAAGTCAAGTGAATGAAGCCGAATTTGAGCTATCAGTAAGTATCTTCCGCCAATTCGGTTCACTGTTGTACTGGTAAGGAAATATTACAGTATACTTAAAGTTTCTCTAGACAGGTAATCAATTGACAGATCGATCAAATAATCGCACATATTTCAAGCATGTTTTACAAACACAAACATACATTTACCTATAAAAGGTTGTGAAGTTAAACTAACATACATGTACCTACGGACATCCAGAATATTTATTAATACTAGTAGTCGAGCTAACATACGCAACATCCCTATTAAGCTGAATTCTACAAGTATTTTGATTGGTCATTACTCATGATCTATCAGAGGAAAGATGTATAGACTGCATCACCTTAACAACCTTTTTGCTCTTTCATTATGTAAAAGCATTAGACTCCATGTTACTCTGTTTTGAACAGACATGGAATCTATTTGGTAAATGCATCTGATTGTGTTTGATTTCTACAATTACCTAACCCTTTCACTCCCGAGGTCTGATTGTCAATTCTCCTCTCTAGCTGTTATACATTTCCTTGTAAGTTAGTACAATAGTGTTAGATCAAGACAGTAACTCCTTCCTGATAAGTTGGAGTATTCGCAGTACCTGTTTGTCAGATAATATTTGCATGGATATCATAGGGAGGGGTTACATATGAATCACCTCTGGGAGTTAGAGGGTTAAAAGGTTAAATTAGGGCATCATTGGTGCTTCTGTGAATAAGTTGTTAACCTGTGTGAAAATACTTCATTTAATACATATACATTAACTTATATTAGGTCAGTAAAATTATTAAGATAACCAACCAACCATAAAAATAAAAACAAAAAAAATAATAGATAAATAAAATAAGTAAATGAATAACATACAGATATATCAATATATAAAATAATGATTTAAATGTTAAATAAAGAAAACTATATAAACTATAAACATCTCTTGTTCAATAAAAGCTGATAACCTATCTTTACCTAATATCTCCCAAATGCTTTCTCTTCAGGACTCTCCACTCCATCTTTTAGATAGTGGTCCTCCCAAAAAAGCTGTACTGACCAGAGAAGATGGTCTACACTATTACAAAGAGATGCAGATCATTCGGAGAATGGAGACAGCTGCTAGTACTTTGTATAAGTCAAAAATCATCAGAGGTTTTTGTCATCTGTACTCAGGGCAGGTGAGTTCATCAAAGATCTCAAATCAAAGGGCGTCATTACCTCAGACTGCAACAACCATTGGTGTGATAGCCAGTAGGATAGGATTTTTAAAAACTAACCAGTATCATTTGGGTTCAGACAAAAAAAATTTCTCATTGTAATATCATTTATGAACTCTTTAAACCCTAAAATTAGACTTCAAGCAGTCCCTCCTTTTCAGAAAAGTGTGCTGTGTGAGGAAAACAAAATGCAGTGCAAAAAAACTTGATGTTAGCTGGCAGCAGGGAGCTCTTGGAGTGATGTCAATTGCTGCAGGAGCTCCATGAACACATGCAATGGACTTTGCCAAAAAGGAGGGACTGCTTTAAGTTTATCACTGTCAATATCAGTAAGCATATTCTCCATACTTTTGTTACATTTCCCAAGGTGCTACCAAGGAGAATTTGCTTATTAATCAAGAGTTTCTGTAGTTGTTGATCATTTTTATTATTCTTAAGCCCTTAATGTTTGATTTCATGGGTGATATTGAAAGAGAAATTATATGCTGGTCACTCTTAGTGGTTAAAGTGTTAATTCCTAGTGAGGAGTTTAGATTGGCTACCTTATTAGTCCTTAAATTCACAGGTACTTAATTTGCAATTTTGGTGCAACAGTATTTTGCAGAGGTTTTATTTCTGCAATTTCAATAGGCTAATATGAAAAAAGGCAATTAAATTTTGCAATTCAAGTGCTCTCAACCTCATTTAACTTTCAAAATGTCTGAATTTATAAATTTTCCAGAGAAACTGAAACAAGCAAAACATTAACCCTTTAACCCCCAAGATCTGATTGTCAATTCTCCCCTCTGGCTGCCACATATTTCCTTGTAAATAAGTTACAAGAATTTGGTGTTAAGTTTGAGTATTCTCATGACCTGTTTGCCAGATAATGTTTAGTTATTACAGGGAGAAGTTACATGTTAATCACTCTTGGGAGTTAAAGGGTTAAAATTAACTTTATTTCACAACATAAGGTACAAAATCAAACTTACTAGTAAAACCAGTCAATAATTTAATTGTTTGTCAAGACATGTTCTGTATGTGTTGTTGGTTTTAAATGTTAATAATTTTTCTCCAGTTTTAATTTCTATATGGGTATTAAATTGTGTGTGTCTAAATTCAGCAAGAATTTCTATTTGGAGGTCTTTAATTTGGCAATTTTTTCACAATCAGGAAAAATACAAAATTAAGTACCAAAAAAGTACCTTAGAATGACCAACCTCCATGCATTCAGGAGCTTACAAATAATTTTTTTCAGTTGCCATTAGCCCTTTCAACTGATATAAAATGCTGTGGATAAGTTTTTTCAATATTTTTCTTGTGATGCCTTATTGCTCATTCCTCTTAGGAAGCATGCTGCATTGGAATGGATGCTGCTATGGACAAGAATGACAGTCTGATCACTGCTTATCGTTGTCACGGTTGGACTTACTTGAAAGGAATATCAGTGAAAGAAATACTCTGTGAATTAGCTGGTAATATATACAATTGGTCATCACTTTTTTGTGTAATGCCTGAAAAAATTTTTTGCTAATGTCAAGATGACAAGATGGCCGTATGCCAAGCTGTTGAGTTAGCACTTAGAGGATCAACAATTGCGATTGGTTGCTATCTAGTTCAGAGTTGTTCCTCTTGATTTACAACAACTCTTTGGGTAATGAATATCTTAAAGCATATTACATATTTGCATTATATCTAATGCAGTTCTTCATAAGATACCTGCATTGCAGGTCCATCCTAGAAGAAGTGAAGGATAAGTTTACAATATCTATGAAATTATTTTTGATTATGAATCCTTGAATTCAGGTATGGTTTCTATTTATTTAACACAATTTTATCTCTTAAGGTCGTAAGACAGGTTGTTCTAAGGGGAAAGGAGGCTCTATGCACATGTATGGTTATGAGTATTATGGTGGAAATGGAATTGTTGGTGCACAGGTTTGTACAAGCATTATGTTAACCCTTTAAACCCTAATATCAGTATGCATATTCTCCATACTGTTCTCCATACATTTCCTAAGGTGCTGACATGGAGAATTTGTCCAACATTTAAGAGGTTCTTTAGTTGCGTATCACATCCTATTACTTTTGTGACCTTAATGTGTAATTTAGCGATGATATTGTGAGGAGAAACTAGATGCTAGTCACCCAGAGGTGTCCTTGGGTTAAACAAATTTTTAGTCACATCACTGTATAGTATCATCAGTATGTATTTGGATTTTTTAATAACCTTCACACCGATCCAAAGGTTGAGCAAAGTGATGTAGCATTATTTATAGATAAGCTTCATGTCTAATTTTTAACCAAAATGTCAAGCAAATTGTTAAGCTTGGGCAGGAATAGCATTGCTTAATAGGTTTACCATTTAGCACAATTTCAACTTATTAATAAAAAGTAATCAGGGATTGCTTTGGTTTTGGTTTTCTTCCCTCAGTTAATAGTTCAGAAAACTCAACCCACTTTCTCAACCATTTAGATTCAAACTGAAACCAGTGGCAGGTCTTGACAATGTGGTCACTCAAGTTTCCCACACTCGTGGGCTCCTTGTGGTATTTTCCTGTGCTCTGATTGTTTATTGGGTTCGGTTTTGTGTCACTCAATAAAACTGCATGCAATATGGTTGTGTTACTTTAGGTTCCACTAGGTGCAGGAATTGCCTTAGCTCACCAGTACAGAGGAAATGGACAAATATGTGTTACATTATATGGTGATGGTGCTGCAAATCAGGGCCAGGTTAGAACATAACACTAGTTCATACTAGACTCTTGAAGGATCGGTGCACATGTCCAATTGGTGCAAATGTCCATCTTAAGAACTATGATGAATTTACAAGATTAGATAGTATAGAGAATACAGTGTACTTTGTTGACCCCTAGCAGGAAATGATGGCAGTTGAAGGGTTTTTTTTTAGCTGTCAGCTAGCCAGAGTGTAGCCTTAAATAAATTCCAAAACGTGATTGGGGAGTTTAGTTGTCCTTGGAATTGATAACTTTTTTCAAGGCTTGAATCTGCTTGCCAAAAGCTCTTTATTTTCATATTATAATGGTACATGTTATTTTCCTCACTGATTTTTATTGGCCATTTCTATTGTATGGTAAACTGATTTAAAAATTTCTTTGTTAGGATACATTTTCTTTTGGCAACTAAAAACTTTTGCATAAGTGCAGTATGAGCAGCTCAGGCCAGTGGATTTTTATAACAAAAGGAAAGAAATGTGTTCCTTCTTGATTCCAAGAGAGGTTTGAGAACTACTAGGCACTATTACTGATAAGTACCTGATTCATTTGCTTACCTCAAAGGTGTTTGAAACCTATAACATGGCTAAACTCTGGAATCTGCCATGCATCTTTGTGTGTGAGAATAATGGATATGGCATGGGTACATCAGTTGAAAGAGCAGCTGCTACCACTGAATACCACACAAGGGGAGACTTCATTCCTGGAATTAAAGTATGTTACACTAAACTGAAATTTAACAGCAGTAAAATTTTGTGTGGTGGATTTGTAGACAATGATAATGTTTTCTTTGTTGAAGGACCTACCTTTTGCAGCAATAGCAATGATTTATTTTTTTCACCTTACAGGTTGATGGTATGGATGTTCTAACAGTGAGAGAGGTCACAAAATTTGCTGCAGATTATGCACGATCAGGAAAGGTAGTGCATTATGAAAGTAGTGCTTTGATCACCAGAGAGCTAACAGTGTAACTTGGTACAGCCAGGAAATCTGCCTGCTCTGAACAATGGGTTGTTTTTTCCTTTGCTTGGGTAGTCCTGTCTGCTTTGTGACAGGCACTTAGTTGACATGACAGCTACATATGTTTTAATTGTGAAACTAGCATGGAAGTGAGGAGCAAAAGATATGAAGGGAGTTGTGAAGTAGCAATTACAGTAGCCCTTTGGCATAATGGTGATTTCCTGAATGGGAAATTTATTATGTTAGTGACACATGTGCAAAGAGATGCTCACAGTTAGTGAGTATAACGTTGTCAAAATTCAAGTAAACGTTCTTTTTCCTCTAGGGTCCAATTGTTTTGGAGCTGGCTACATATCGTTATTATGGGCACAGCATGAGTGATCCTGGCACAAGGTAAATGTGATGATTATGAACTGTAGTAATGATAAAAGTAGACAGCCATGGTCCTGAATTGTGGAACGCTGATTATTGGAGCATAAACCTCTCTTCAGAGCAAAGTATTTACAGTGGCTTTTTGGTTACCATAACTGGCCTCCTTAACAAGATGGTCTTGTTTAAGATCTGGGTGGGTTTTTTGGTGTTTTGGTGTAATGTAGTCAGGCAAGACTCTTAGATCTCACAGGGTGTTATGTGTATAGCGCCAGACATTCCCAACTACACAACTCTGAACCTGAGCGTTGAATCAATCCTCTCGCTAGATTTAATCTTGATGAGCAGTTATTAACCCTTTCACTTCCAAGATCTTATTCATAATCTGTTTTTTCGTCTGCCATACAATTCGTGTGATATCAGTTCAGAAAATTGTGTATTGGATCATTTAGTAATTCCGGCCCTTATTAATTTAATTGTTTTCTCTATTCTCGTCACTTTTCTGCTTGATGTTGTATTGATCTTGTAAGGAGAAATTCTGTTTTGGTCACTCATGAGAGTTAAAGGGTTAAAGTAGAAGCTCTAAGGGCGATGGAGTGTGTGATTCTCACCAGTGAGGTACTCAGAGTAACGAATAACCTACTTGCTTATTTATTTCTACTTTCTGGCAGCTACCGGTCACGTGATGAAGTACAGGCCGTACGTAAGACGCGTGATCCAATCCTAAGTTTGAGAGAAAAACTTTTGGACTCAGGGCTGGCAGACACCGATGAAATTAAGGTACTTGTTGAACAATAACGCGTATTTTGTCCAGGTTAAAACAGTGAGTATGGCAAACTCAATTGGAAACGTAGTCTCATCAGGAAAGCTCCTTACGGATTGTTAGCAGGCACATTGACAACCAAACGGATCAAAGTCAGTATCTGGCACCTACCCCCCTCCTCCCCCAACCAAGCAACAGTCAACTGATCGCAAGTTAGGGTTAATGTTGGGTTAGGGGAGAGGTAAGTGCGCAGTTGCCTAGATACTGACATTGATCCGCGCGAAACAAACACAAACCTAACGAGGAAATGAGCGCTGCGTAAAGGATCTAAAGTTAAAGTTGACAGCACCTTTTTAAAGAGGCTGCCACAAAGATATGTAAAGTCGCCTTAAGTTAAAGATGACTGATCTTCAAGTTGTTTGCTGATTCCGTGGCAGGGTATCGAGCAGGAGGCCAAACAATTGATCGAAGAAGCTGTTAAAGCAGCTGAGAGCGATCCTGACCCTCCTCTGGATGATCTCTATTTGGACGTGTACGCGGATGATAACATGGAAGGTCATGTGATTCGTGGATGCGACAACTGGTCAAGGCACGCCACGAATTAAAGACGAGCAATATAACGTTGTTGAAATATCTTTAAAGACTACTTATATCCGAAATTTTGATATCTAACATCATTTGTAAAGTACTTGATTTTATTCTTCAACTGTGTGGGTGTGCCTGAGGTTTGAAAGCCTCGAAAGTGTCATATCTAAAAAATGTTAGAAATCTTAACGAGTTCGGCATCTGTTGAACCAAGGTACAAAATAAGCGGTGTTATCGCATTCTCATAAACTTGTAATATCGATCTGGAAGTTATATTTTGTCTTTGCCATTCTTTGGCATTCTTTAAAACAAAACACTGAACAAAAATTTTCACTGGAAAGCTTGTTGCAGGCTTGTTAATCTTTATTAAAGGGTAGGACTTGAAAGACATAATTTGAAACGAAAACTTACATGATTTTGTGGTTTAAATATCTGAAAATGCATGTAGGTAACCAAATTTTGTGCCAAACGGTGTAAAGAGTGATTCTGATGTGCAAGAGAAAACTGCGATCTATGTCCTTTAAAGGAGTCAACTAAAAGGAGAAGGTTTATTTTAGCTTACTTTCAACGACCAGTTGGCTGTCAAAATCATGAATAAGAAGGTTTTTTTGACGGGATTTGAATCAGGATGAAATTAAATAAAGGAATCGTGTGTTTTATTTATTTCTAGTGATCTGTAACTCGAAGCTAGGTTTTATCTTGATTAACCCGTTGTGACAAACACACCAAACTTCTGTTTTAATTTAGCTTATTTCTATATCTCACCCCGAGAACTCCGAGCCTGTTGCAAGCGTTCATTTAGTTAAACGAGGCGAGATGTAGAAACGGCGTGATAATAACGGTAGAGCAAGAAAAATGACAGAGGCTTCAGTCGGTTCGACTCAAACCTCCCTCTATTTTTCAATCCTCCGCCACTATCATGCTTTAAACTCTCGCACTTTGTTTTTTCTTAACTTATCGCCTAGAAGAATCTATATAACTCCCTTTCCTTTCGCATACCTCTCCCCCTGAAAATGATACCCTTCTAGGTTGAGAATCCCAGTGGTAAGGAGGGGGGAACCTCTCCCCCTAAAATTGATACCCTTTTAGGAAGAGAATCCCAGCAGTATGGAGGAGAGGAGGGTAAGTGGTGAGAGTGGTCACATGGGTAAGACTGAAAGGAAGCTTAGCACAAGAACTAGCAGTAGCCATGCAAAGAGTCCTCTATGCATTGATCTTTCAAATTACACTTTGGTTAAGGGTAGCTCATGAATAAATATTATTTCAAACTGTATGTTTTGGCACAGAAATAAAGTGCAACAAACTATGGTATGACATCGATCTCAAAATACGTTCATTTTTACTTTTGCAAAAGAAGACCCCAAAGAAGCTATGTACGCGGAGTTGATTTCTCAAGTTGGAAAACGTGCTCTGAAAATGATATTTACAATTAAACAGCATTAGTGAAAGTGAGCCATTCCAAACTGACTGGCAACAGTTTCCATCATATTTTGTAAACAAAACAAGAAAGATGATAAGTTTTAAGCTCGGCAGAGAAATAGAAGAAGAGATTTTTCTTTGTTCCACACTCGTGACAAGACGAAAAACATCTTTCTCTATTTCTTTGCCGAGCTTAAAACTTGCCATCTTTCTTGTTCTATGTACAAAACATGACGCTATCGACATTGCTGATCCTAGTAGTAATGAGACTTGCTCACCAGAGTCTCTGTGGCTCAATGGTAAAGCATCGGAGCTTGGAATCCGAAGGTCTGACGTTCGATTCCTCATGGAAACTCCGCAGAATTTTTTTCTTTGTCCCACGCTCGTGACAAGGCGAAAAAACATCTTTCTCAGTTCCCATCATAGTTTCCTTTTCGGTCATTGGGAAATATGCAACGATTCCCTCCTAAACAACAGAACCTCACCATCAACGATATTGGGCCATCCATTTTAAACTGAATGTCAAGAGCAAGCCGAGGTTACTTTGGCATTGCTTTGCTGTGACTGGTGTAGAAAACTTGCGCCACTTTGTTAACCAATCAGCGGCAAAACAAAAAACCACTCCTGAATAGATCACTCGCGCTTTCCCGCGAATTAACTTATCGTTCTCATTGGCCCCCTAATAAGATCTCTCTCCATCGGCCGTTGCAACTACTTTTGTTCAGTCAATAATCTCTTCGTTTAAATGTTAATTAAGACAGCAATTTGTTTCATTTTGAGCGCTAACAGCTCAAAAATAAATTAGTTGATGATCAAATTTGTTCTTAAGAGATAGTCCAAAGTTACCGTGTACTTAATCCTTTAAATCCCAGAAGTGATTAACATGTAACTTCTCCCTATAATATCCATACATTATCCAGCAAAAGGGGAAAGAGAATACTCGAACTTATCAGTTAGAAGTTGTCATCTTGATTTAACACCAAATTCTTGTGACTTATTTACAAGGAAATGTGTGACTGCTAGAAGGGAGAATTGACAATCAGATCTGGGAGTTCTAGGGTTGAAAGGAGCTGATTATTAAAGAGAAGAATCGATTTAAGGTTTGGCAGAATAATGTTAAGGTGGCTCTCCACCACCTGGGAAAATGTGCTTGTCCATTCGTTTTTTAAACTGTCGCTTTGAAACCAGCGGGTTCGGTAATTAGCCGCTGTTCGGAAAATGAGCCCGCGCTTAGGGGTAAGGAGGCCCAGGCTTAAACGGAAATCGAGCCTTCTTGCCTTCTTGCAAACTTCCTTTCTGTCCTTTACTTTAAGGAAATCGTCTACTTGTCGAAATCAAACTGAGGTCAAAACCGATAAACGCAGATCGCTACCATCTGATAAAAATGTTTACTTTACAACGTTTTATTTCAAACACAGTCATAAGTTGGCCAATTTTGGCCGTTTTATCAATGCAAATGGACTTACTACCAGATAATCATACTGCATATCGTTTTTACGTAAACCGGAGGAGATCAACAACACAATTGTTTTTCTCCTGCGGATTGAAGAAAAGCAGTATATGCCGCAAAATTTAGTCTAACGATGGAGCTTACCACCACTACTAAGGGTCCTCGGTTGTTGTAGTAATTCGAACAGCTGCACGATCGGTAAAATTGTTAAAGGAAAAGTGTTTCAGTCCTGAATGTTCGCTAAAAGTCAAGGCAAAACTCACGCGATTAGGCCAGCTAAAAATAGAGCTGTCAGCTGAGCGTACCTCACAATGCATGATACCCACTCCACGAAAATAGGACAGATGGTTCGTGGTCGATAAATATCTGCGATTTAATCTTGGCTAATTTATATATCAGTATTTTGAGCCCCGAAGAGTATTAAGGACGCCTGTGGCGATTTCGTTCCATCGTATCTCCTCCCCCACAATTTTCAGATTGCCATCAGTGATCGGATGAAAAACTATCAATGCTTATCATGTATTTCCGAGCATGTGTGAGTGGCTCATTCGTGTGCAATAACGCTAGATATTTTCTGGTTGAGGAGCACTCTAAGGCCCAAAAACAATCATTGTACCAATTAGATATTTCGTGACAAATATTCCTCAGTTTCGTTCCTTTTGGTTTGTAAAATAAGCGATAAGAAGAGCTTGTCAAGTTATCCTGGTTTCCTAAACTATTGATGCATGTGTAGACAAAATGATTTCCTTTCGTGTCAGGCCTGCAAACACACATGTAATTTAGAGAATACTATTAGTCATGCGTGTAAGCATTCCGATCGGACTGAGAAATTATAGTGTTTATTCGAGATAATAAACTGCATCGAAACTTCATGAAAAAAAGGTCGGAAAGATCGATCGAGATACCTAGCGTATCCACAGGGATTAGCAAAAGATAATCTGCAAACGATAAAATTGAGTTTCCATCCTAAAATCACATTAAAGTAAACTAAAAAAGATAAGAAACTGATCGAAAGATTTTCCAATTAATTTTTCTCTTTTTTTTGCAAGTTTATCTTTCTTATTTACTTCTTTGTGCATTTGTAAGATTTTCCTTCAATCAAAGAATAACGCGGGCCTTACAATATGGAAAAAAAGGAGAATGAAAGAAATACAAGAAAAAAATACTGGAAACCCTTTTACACGTGTTTTGTTTCGAAGGGATGTATTTGCTTTCGAATTATTTCATATTACGTACCGTAAATGTTCCCAAAATTTTGCTTTGAAATGGTTGTAAATATTGATATGTTTCGGAACGTTGGCACAATGACAAAGTGAGTCGGTCAGCGATTAGTTTTAAAAGGTTTAAAGGTTAAAAATTCTTATTGGCATTAAATAAAATAAAAAAAATTCTGTTCTTAATAAAAAAAATTAAAATTGCAAATGCAAATTCTACTCTGCCCGAAAGAAAGACCGAAGCCAAACCCAACAGAATACAAAACCGTACCTTAAAAAGAGCATACGTAAAAAAAAAAAAATTGTGAAAACAAAAAAATGTTTATCTTGAATGTTTGCTCCATTTTTCATTTCATTTATTTTGCTTGGAAACTGTATGACTAAAAAGTAAACTAGGTTTTTCAATCTAGCCAAAGCATAATCAATTGTCGGTAAATAATTTAAAGTAGAGTAACACTTATTGCATGTAATAGCAGTCTGAAACTGCAGTTTATATTACGGCTGCGTGGGCTGGAAGCCTTCTTTAGCATGACAGTTCTGAAAGCATATGGCCACCATTGAATTAGGCAAACTGACGAGTTCAAGCGCTTAAAACTAGTTATTGCCAAGAAAAACGTTTCTAATTTTCCAATGGTAAATATACCACATGTGATTTGTTCTGTGGTGTTAAAGCTCGCGGAAGGACGTGCAATTAACATATAAAGAGCGGCCTTGAAATATTTGCCTTTGATCAGTCGTCATCACAATCAACAATTTTTTTAAGTTTCTCCATTATCATTGTAGAATTCCAAGGCTTGCTATGCACGGGTCTGAATGGTATTGCCTTATAACTGCCTGCTTGTCTGTTTGCAGTAGTGTGGTCGGCACAGTTAAATGTGTTAAGGACCTTTTAGTCCCAAAAACTCCCAAGGCCGCTTCCTTATATCTCTCTTCGTACGTTTTGGCCTGCTGTCCCTCGCGTTCGTAGGTGATCAAGATCTCTGGAGTCAAAAACGACATGTTTTTCCTCTTCATATTTCCCGCATTTGCTGTGCTGTTCAATTCCCCCGTCATCTCGCTCTCCCTCAATGCATTCGGGATCTGCCCTTCACTCTTAGATGAGCAAAGCATCAGTTCTTCATTCTCAATTTTACACGCGAACCTAAATTGCCGTTGAGGTGTATATTCGGCCGATATTTGCTGGCGAGCAACTCAACTCGCTCCGTTCAACAGAATATAACATGTATCTAAAGACCGCTTGTCGAGGAGACTTTTCCCTAAAGAGACTCGCTACTACTGATGACTGGAATTGTGGAAGTTCTATTTATAATGATAAACATGAATAATACAAATAAGAATTCATAACAGAAGTTGTCTGCGGAATTACGAAAATTCACGAGCATTTGACGACCTCACCCGAAGTCGTGACGTAAGTGGTCCGAGTGACGTCGACGTAGACGCACAAACACCGACAGAAACCTTGAGTCGATTGGTGAACGTTCCGATGGCGTGTTGTTTGATCAATACCGTCACATCCTTACATTTTAATAGTTATATCTAAAAATTTTAATAAGATGTCATAACGAGCTTATGGTCGTTGTTTTTTCGGAGTTCGTCATAACATTCGGCGTAATCCGAAAGCTTTCGAGGAGCCATTTCACTGATAACGTGAATGGTAAACACGAAAGCAAATACAGCTTGAGTGAAGGGTTTCCATCATCAGCAAATCCATGTCGGGAGGCATGTTTGTGAATTTTCGTCATGTTTTAGTCCGTCGATCGACACGACATTCAAGCAATCACGTCAAAATTTTGGTTCGAAAGCAAATATAATCGTCTTTGTCGCGTCAAGCAATTTGCTCGGCAATTAAATGGCTCTAATCAAATGGATAGGAAAGAAAACACAGATACGATGCGAAACTGAATTCATCAAGAACCAAAGCACTACCTTTTAATGGTCAGTTTTCATGCCCACAACCCTCTCTTTTCCGTGAAATAATCTTTCCAATATTTTATCTGCGACTTGTTTTTTTTTCACACGTAAATTTCACTCCCATTTTTTTTCTCTTCTTTTTGGGTGAAGGAAGACAGATTCCGATTCCAAATTTTGTGTCTTGGCGAAAGTGTAGTTAAATATATCTCAAGGGAGGAAAAAATAAAATACAAAATATGCAAAGACCAAGACATCACAGAATACCTACGCGCGGTGCAATACGACATTTGACATAACAGTTAAAAACAAAAACATTTCACAGTAGGTGTTATCATGTGAAATGGGTTGTATTTGTCGCGGTCCTCAAATGAACTTAGAAACCGCAAATTTTATTATTGACGGTATACAGGTTAATCGAAATATCTGCTCTATTTTTGGCTTCGAAAACATCCTAATTCCACGCAAAATAATTAACACGTCCCTATATGTTCGGGAACTATCGTGCTCTTTTTCTCAAACGAACATCTGCGCGCCTTACTCCCTGTTATCAATTTCTAATTTTCACAGGATAAATTAAATTCTGAACCTTCATTTATATCAGCTGAAAAAAAAAACTTAAACGAAATATCAAAACGCAAACTGTGATCATTTAAAATTGGAACCCAATGGAAATGATGAAGCACATGTACACACTGATACTAGTAGTAGTTAAATATGACATTTTCATTTGCAGGATATGCAAATGTTAGAAACATGTCATTGTTTCACCGAATCCTTTACATTTCGTGTTCACTTTTTTACATAATTAAATTAATTCTTTCTAGATCGTTCAAAGAACTGTACACCCAGTATAACAATAAGATAACATGTTAGTGACGACATCATCATCTTAGGAACTTGTCACGTCATTACCTACCTTGGCTTTCGCATTCGCGTCAGATATGAAGTGAAACCACACGCTGCTTCGGAAATGACATGAACTGTTGTTTTGTCACCAAAAAAAACAGAAATCAAATATCTAACAAAGATTCATTTTGCAAGGCATAAGTCCATCAGAAGTTAAGGTGAATTTAAGAATGGTTTTCATCCCATTTTATCGGTTTAGTAAAGATTTCATCAAATTTTCTGCTAATATCTGAGGTAAATTCAAGAGAATTTATTAGAGGTAAAATGATGTTTGGCTCACAAAATTATATCAGGTTTTTCATATTTGGCAATCTTAAGATCTATTTTAAGCATTCACTTCGATTACTATCAGGAAAGTAAACTATCTATTTTTGGGGAGCCTAATTCCAGAAAAACACGTATCTCTGAGATCACATACTTTTTCTAGTAGGAGCGAAACGACAACAAAACACACATGTAATATCCCGGCCAATGGTTTGACCGGACTCGATTCAGATTCACAGTTTCTTAGAACGAATAGTGCACTCAGGTATCGGCCAAGGATAAAAGTTAATATTGGTTTTGTGAAATTTTTAACAATGAAACAGCAATATATGGAAGTTCACTGGCAAACCTAATCAGAAAAAGAACCTCAGTTCAATTAAATGCGATGACCTCTGCGCTTTGCAAGCCTTTGACATCACAAATTGGCAGAATTGATCTGTCTTGTGAGAATCAGTTAAAAAAAAAAGATTCCTCTAAACAGCGCACAAATGTCTTACCGCACGTAGTCTTTTTCGCAAGCTAATCGGCAGAAATAAAATTTTGCATTGCTTTACATTTCTCGGATTTCTGGAATTATCGTAGCCTGTGTAAACGCAGAAATCTTGCGTTTATGAAAAAACAAAAATAAAACGCCAAAACAATTAAGAATATTAATTAGCTTAAGTGATAAAGTGTGTCCACAAAACAAAGGATAGTACCGATAGAAAAGTAATTAGATGATTACAATACAATATCCACAATAATAACAGAGAAAAATATGGAATAAACTAATGAGATCAGAGACATGATGAGCAAAAGGGTTTATTTGAATATTGAGTAAGTGCCTTCCCAACCAGTGAATATTTCTTCAACATTCTCAGCTTAAAATTAATACCACTCAGTACAGAGATTTTGCGAGTTTTATTTGATGGATTTTCGAGTTCCACAGAGCAAGTTTTTTTTCGATTCGACAGAAATGTTCAAAATTCCCGCGAGGAACTATTTTTTTGCGACGCTATGTTGAAGCTTCTCTGCAGCAATAACGAAACAAACGCTATGTATTCAAGATGACCTAGAATTCTGCTAGCAACTAACTTTTTTGTGATTTTCTTTTCAAGGCGTAGGAGAGTAACAAGGAAAGAAACACTGGTCAATTTTCGTAGTTTGTCAGGAAAATGAAGAAATTTACTCGATCGATGATTCTCATTTGGGATTACGAGTAATTCGTCCGAAGATGATAACAAATCGACAATTGATCCGCACGCAAAGCTTAGTTTTAGTTACAGCATCTTTTTAAGTTTGCGGTATTTTTGTCTGGGAGGACCTTTTCTCGGAGGCTCGAGGACACTCCGAGAAATCCGTAGAAATTAAGATCCGCTTACTTCAGATACTACACAGTAAAAGTGCGGAAGAACGTTAAATGAGTATAGGAAGAAAGAGGCTAAAAACTTCATGATTGTGTTAGGGAGCCGAGAGTTCTAAAACGAATAGAAAAGGTTTTCTTATGCACAACAAGAGCACGGTGTCAAGGGATTAACGCTGTTTTCATTAAAAAAAATCCTCAAAATACTACAAGCGAGCGTTAATTTTCAGGTTGGAGAGTCTTCAAGGAATTACACCAATTTCAAGAGTTCCGAGTAGAGTTCCAGGTGATATCAACCACACAACTTCCGCTGCAATGGATAGAATATTCTATCGTGAAAATACGAGCATGTTTTTCAGCCAAAACAGCTACATTTGAAAATTATTACCATCATTAGCATCACTTTTCTCCTCGTCTAAATATCATTCGATCCTGAGAAGATATCTGTCGGCTAAAATTTACAGGTCATGATGGTAAAACCCGGAGTGAACTGAATTTATCGGGAGAAATGGAACGCAGGCTGCTCGAGATAATTTTCAATTGAAAGTCCGAATAACTAAGTAAACCGAGATTGCTTCTGTGATCGACCAAGAAAAGTCAGCTGCTACTGCCTTCTACATCTCGGCTCAAGGGATCTGGACTTACTTATCGTGGACGGTGAGGTCACCCCAGCCTGAGCTCACCACGGCGTAGAAACAAAGGAAAGCGCGCGACGCATGCACAGGTTTTTGTCCCGTAACAGGACAGGCCTCCTCTGTCTAACGCTTGATCATGGATCTTTCAAAGTACACTCCATTCATAAGACACATTTTCAATCTTTCCAGGAAAAACTCAGTTTGGATCCAAGCGAAAACAAATCGCTTCGGTCTCTAACTTTCTGAAAAAGGTTGTCAGAGTGGGTTGCTGAACGTTCTTACTTCTGGGACAGGAGCCCTGTAATCGCGCTTCGGTTGAGGGAAATGTTTGACATTTGAACTCTGTCGATAGTTAGGTAATATTAGAAAGCCCATGTAAAGATAATAAATACTATTTTTTATTTTCCTAATTCTGCGCTAGCTATGTCATTCAACAAGAACACCACTACAAGATATTTCCGATAGAAGGGAAGCTTTTCCCTGGGTTGATAAAAGATTGAGTGAAACCTTACATGGAGAAGTAACAAACGCTCTCTTTTCCCAAGTCTCATACCCAGACCTTCCATGACCAGGCGATTGTCGTTATAGTTACATGGCAAGATCTGGATACGAGATAATTTTCCCCCTTCTTACATCACAAGATAAATAGATATTAACATGACTTTAAAGTAAGAAAACAATTGTGCCCTCTTCAAAAATTTCAAAACTCAGGGCTGAAAATTCATAGTTTAATTCTGCCAATTAAAAATGGTTAAATAAGAATTCATGATAAAATGGCGCTAAAAGTGAATTGGAAACCTGTATAAATTTGTATATCAAAGTTTCCCTATTTCTCCCCCCCCCCCAATTTAACGGGTCTTTCACTGAACAGATCCACAGCAGCTCATGCCGAATCCATCTTCAATCTCGGAAACGTTATCGCGGTTATTTGAACTTTCTGCGATCTGTTTTTCTTTTTTCATTTCCAAATAACCCATTAAATTGTTCCTTAACAATGAATACAACAACGTTTTAAGCGAATCATATATTGATCGCTAAATTAAGTAAAAAAAACCTTCTGTGAATATCACTCAATTTCACGGCCGAAGACTTGAATATACTGATTCAAAATGTTGCATGAGAACATGGGTGACGATAAAAGCCCCATGCCTCACTTGATGAGTTTCGCCAACTGGTTAAGCAATTTTTTCATCGATACCACGAATAAAAATCCTCCTTTTCTATTTTCATAGGGAAACTGATTTTATAGGCAAAATGATGTGTAAGAACTCTGAAATATTTTGATATAAAAATAGCTAGCCTGCGCGTTACAGCAAAACGCAGCTATTGATAACTTATAAATTATAATTATAAATACGAGTTCTAATTCTTAAAAACCTGAAACCTATTGCACGGAACATTTTTTGTTTACAAACACTCCCATTACCATCGTTACCCGTGTCTTGATTAATAATTTATCTGTATTTACAAATGCAAAAAGGCATTTTCCCGCGACGTCAACGCCGCGGCCATGTTGAAGGGTAACTAAGAACTTGCCACATTTAACGGATTGTAAAAAAAATTATTTCAATATAAGAATAACACCTCTTATTGAGTAATAAATGAGATAGGTCTATATGCTCCCTTAGAGCGCACGAGGTAAGTAATTCACACTGATAAGTCCGAATGTTACAGCATTATTCTCAGTCTCCTTGAAAGGCATTGTTCGGTCATGTCACACAGCAAGCTGGAGAAAACAAGAGCGTTGCGTGACTCGAGGTAATAGAGGCAAGGACTGGAACATCAAAGGGGGTAGGTCACGATATTCTGATTCGTTAGGGTAGGGAAACAATTTAAGGTAATATTCAACCATTAATAAACAAAGATGATCAACGATGGGATAGATTAAAACGGAAAGAAAAACCGTGACGTGGCTACATTAAGCTAAGAAAATCCGTGATGTCAACTACTAAACACGTCCCACGATTTACGAAAACCTTGCCAGTTCCAGTACTGCTCGGTCTGCATCTCAGTGAGTCTGGAAATGGTGCGTTCAAACGCAAAGATTTCTTCCTCGGCCGTAAAGATGGCGCTTGAGTTTGCGTCGGACTGCAAAATACAACGGCAGGAAACACTTACATACACGAACAGTTAGTGTGATCTTCATCCATGTCTTGCAGACGTACAATTTCGACGAAAGCAAGTTCAGTGTGATGCAGAGAAGTGTTTCAAAACGTAAAAATAATCCTTAGGCGTGGTTGAACACGTCTCTTCCTAATTTTGCCAAACAAAACACCAGTCTAATCGCAACTGTAATCTGCCCAATGCAGCCTAAACAAATTCCTCCGCAAAGTGTTGTAAAAAGCTTTATAAATTCATCATAATTAGTTCAACTAAATACAAATATAAATATAAATAAATGAAATAATGTGGAACCTTAACGAGCGACTCCTTTGCATGGAGTAACGAACAGCCCATTACTTAAAAATGAAATCTCCACGGTAGTTTACACGGCATACAGAAAAACAAACAAAAACCTTACAGCTGATAAGTCGAGGTCGTCCATCAGCTTTCGTTTAAACTCGTCGTCATTTGTGGTCAGTGGAGTTGCGTTAAAGAGCTGACCGATTGGGGTAGCCGCTGAGCATATAAGACGAACCTGGAGGGGGAAAAGAAACAAACTTAACGTCAAAAGGACAAGCTCATTTTTCGGTTTCCGGAAGATTTGTTTTTCTTTTCTTACCCTGTTATCATAAAGAGCATCAATGAGCGTGATAAACCTCCTTGCCTCAGTTTTTTGAGAAACTGTCATTTTGGGAATGTTGCGCAAAATAATAATATCAAAGTGTTCACACAGGGCTAAATAATCCGCAGCTCCCAAAGGCTACAACAAAAACAAAAGAAAAAACAGTTAAATGTCATCTTAAAATCCACCCATGCACTACTGATCGAAACTGGACACAATACATCGAATGAAATAGCATGAACCCTTTACACTCTAGCATCAGTATACAATTTCTCCACACTGTTCTCTCTATTTCCTAAAGTGTCGACAAGGAGAATTTGTTTAACAATCAAGAGCTTCTTTAGTTGATGGTCATTTCCTTTATTCTCGTGACCTTCATGTTTTATTCAGGGGTGATATTGTAAGGAGAAATAAGCTGCTTGTCACTTCTTAGGTGTCAAATAGTTCGATGCACTTTAAAATCGATTCAAAGAGTCTCCTTTCCTTTTGGCCTAGTTTTCTTTGGTAGGCTTGAAATTAAGAAACATAGGAAGTTGTCCACCTAATTTTAAATATCAGTCGTACTTTTTTCGGATTCGGATGACGAAAATTTTTAACGGTCTAAAAAAAGCAACCAAATACACTTACGTCGCTCTTTAAACGTAAAATTTTTTCCGGCGTCTTGAACAAAAGGCAAGCTATCTTTAGCGGTAAAGCCTCATATCACAGCAAGAACCATTAAGAGGACATAATACTTCAAAATACGTTTTATTTTCAATACCTGCGCACAAAGTTCCTCAAATGTAAAGTCTGCGACTCTTCCACAAGTGCGTGGGGCGTTCAACTTCCTTGTACCAAGCACTTGAATTGTTGTAGGACCAGGGCTGCATTCAGCATTTTCTATATCGGAGCAACGCATACTTTGTGTTAGAGAGTGGAAGTAAAACATAATTACAAAGCAATTTCCAATTGAATGTCGAAAGTTATCCGGGATCACATTGGTTTTGTTTTACTTCGCTCTGTGATTGGTCCAGAGATCTTGCGCCCCTCTCTCAACCAATCAAAAGCAAAACTAAAGCCAATCTTGACTCAGTCGCCCACGTGTTCCCGCGCTTTAGGCAGCTTGATTGTTTTTATTTGGAGCTTTCATTGGTTCTTAAGATATTTTCCTCTCCTCTGATTGGCCGTTGTTATTACTTTAGTCTTGGTTTCACGACACTCAATCGAAAAGCGCGCTTATCAAGGGAAGCAAATGCAAAAGTTTATCCCGTAAAACATACGTTCAGGCTTACTATTAGCATCCTTCAACGTACTAGTGCCTGCTCACTGACATAAAGAGCAGCTAATCAAGTAAATGAAGACTTTACAGAAAAGCACGAGAGTGAAATACCGCGGAGACATTGGCAATACTAAGCGATCCTCCGCTATGCTACCTTCTTAGACCATCACCGTTCTACGAGAACCTAGCACACGCCATTGACTACTCACAATTAGTGAAAAACACTTAGCCGTCTTAACATGTCTACAATAATTTTCTTGCGCATAACTCTATGAATCAGAGGGGTTCCATGTGTTAAGGTAACGTACCGTTTCTCTGTTGCTGAGCCAAATTAGCGAATATCCAGGCCAGTTCATTGGTTGTCTCTTTTCCAAGAGAACTAGCGAAAGTGAATTAATAAAAAAATAAAAATTTAATCACTAAAAATAAATCATTACATCGATATCAAACAACCCACCGATCTTACTTCCTGAAAAAAAAAATTCCAGCTCTTGATGACCAAAGGACTGGAAGAACAAATTTGGAGAAACCTGATGCAGTTAATAAGTAGCAAAAGTTATCTACCAACCTGAAAAATGCCTTTCCAATAGAGGGCATGTCTGAACATAAAAAAGGATGAAAAAGACTGTTAAAACCAAGTAGTCCATAGACCTCAGCCCACCACCATGACTGAGCAAAAATGTTATAGCGCGCACTTTCCACACCACCACCAGTAATCAAAGTAATCTGTATTTGATACAAATTATTTTGCTATATACCTAGACTTTCAGTCAACAAAACGAGCACTGAGATTGGTTGATTCTTGGTCACATGCCCCTGATCAAATTCAATTGTATCCCTACTGGGATACAATTGTGTAGTTGTTGCCTGCACACCGATTACAATTATTTATAGCATGTTTTTACCTTATGATCGTTTAAGGGAAAGTCTAAATATGCAACAAAGAACTAAATGTGTGGTCCAAGGGAAACTATTTAGTTTTGTTTTCCCTCAAGTCCTGATGTTTCCCTAGACTTTGTCTAGGGAAACATCAGGACTCTCTGGAAAACAAAACTAACTGTTTCCCTCAGGAACATACATTAAGTGTATAACATCTATTGTTCCAGTAAGAGTCCTGTTAACCTCTTCAACATTAAAGTATTATAGAATATTAACTTACCTTAGAGGCATGTAAACAGGAATTTTTATAAAAAAAAAAAACACTCTCCAAGAGAGTGTTAAAGCACACATACCTGTTCTGCGATAATCTATACCAGAGTCAAGACAAAGAACTTTGCAATTTTTCTATAGCAAAGAAAAAAAGGGAAAAAGTCAATTAGGGGTCAACTATCCTTTTATTGAACAAAAAGAAATGCATACATACTCACAGAATTATCTATGTAAATCTCTTTAAAATCTGATTGACGTAAAGATTGTTTAACTTAAAAGTGCATGAATCCTGATGTCAAGCAAAGGAGGCCTGGAGACTACTCTGTATTCAAAATTGCCATGGGCTATATAGGGAAGGGGGGGGGGGCAGCAGAGGGTCTTTAAGGATAGGAAGGAAAGATGAAATTCCAAAAAGATTTGTTCAAGATTTCCTTCAAAAACAACAAATCCACAATTATTATTATTATTATTATTATTATCATTTCCAAATCCACAATTATTATTATATCAAGGAAATCATCTACAGCCTCAGTAAACCAGTTATTTCAAATCTAAAGGTAAAGCTTGAAGATTCCAGTCCTTTTGATTAATATAGCTGCAATAGATTCAAATGTTCAGATGACCAGTTCCTCACCTTGAGAATAGGTATAAAAGGAATGAAGTTGCTTCTTTGAAGGCCATTTTTGTACAAGTCTAACCAATGAGAGTGAAAAGGAGAGAAGTGAATATTCATCACTGACATCATTTCCCTTGACTATGTGCTAGTTTGCAAAAGGCTATGGGTTCACATCTACTGGCAATTTGTTTTTTTTTTAAATTTTAAAGAAAATAAGTTTAAAAGAAACACATTTATCTTTCTGAAACACTGACTGAATGCATTAGTACATTCTGGTGCATACCATCTGGATGTCTATTGGATGTTGCAATCACAACAACTCCTTGTTCAAACAGAGCTGTGAATAGTCTTTTTAAAATCATTGCATCTGCAATGTCTGTCACCTGTGAACAAGAAAAAAGTTTGTTTAAATTTGTCAAAAATACATGATCTCTAACTCATAGGAGTTAAAGGGTTAAAATAGCCTGTGCAAGAAAGAAAGGTATCAATAAACATAGCTATAAAATAAGAAGTGTCACCTGAAATTCATCAAAACACAAAAGCCACCACTTCAAACTGATCTGCTCTGCAACAGGTGGGATAGGATCATAGGGCTGTGCTCCTATGGACTTGGGGTCTCTTGGAGGAAGACTAGCTTTTAATTTGTGAATACCTACATAGTGCAGACAAAGTATGGACATGTATCAAATAGTCAGTCTGCAAAAAACAGCTCTTAGTTGGTGTAGAGGACACAGAGTACATCACCATGGAATTTCATCATAACCAGAAATAAGAAAACAATGAAAACAATAGTGTGACATATACTGTGTCTTCTACACCAAGCAAGAGCTGAAAAAGGAAATTTTACATATCTGTAAGAAACAATCTGTACAGTCATCGATATAATGAACGTAAGCAAGGGCTTCAATAACATTTGAAGAAGATGGCAAAAGCTGTAAAAAGAGGGTGGGTAATAGAGGCTTTATTGAAACATGCTGTCAATAATTACTAACACAGGGCAAAGATAAATACATACTTGAGTGGACATCCAACATGAATGAGTGAAAATGAACTCTTTGTTTCTTTTCAACAGGAACTTCATCATAAAATAAATCCATTAACATTGTCTTGCCACAGCCTTAAAAAAACACATTGTTTTAAAAGAGTCATGATCAATGTAAGATATACTCAGAAACATCTCCCGAAACAACAACTTCCGATTATTGGACAGAGAACACCTAATAAACTAAAAAGTACATTAACTCTTTAACACCCAGAAGTGATTGACATGAAAACTCTCCCTATTATATCTATACGTTATTCAGCAAACAGATAATGAGAATATTAAACTTATCAGGTAGAAGCTGCTATCTTGATCTAGCATCAAGTTCTCATAACTAATTTACAGGAAAATGTGTAGCAGCTGGAGGGGAGAATTAACAATCAGATCTTGGGAGTTAAAGGGTCAAACCAATCAAAAGTAATGAATAAAAACCATTAAAGATAAATGTCATCAGGAGCTTTTGAGAGCTTTATGTCATGTCAACCATAACGTATGTCTTCATGACCTCTAGCTTGGGAATGCACAAGTGAAACATTGAAACTGGTTTTAGTATTGCATGTTATCAGTAGAGAAAAGGGTTAGACTTTTCAAAACCAATCTCAATGTGTACAAAACTAAAAAAATAACCCTAACCCAAAGCAATCCTCAATTGCTTTTGATAGTCAAATAAAAGTTGCACTATGGTTGAAAAGATACAAAAATATACAAACAGTAACTTTAATCTAATTATAGTAATTATAACAGATTTGTTTTAAACTATATCATAAAACCAAGTGCTGTCCAGCCCCAGCTGAATCAGGTATTTAGTGACCACTTCTTACCTACACTTCCATGAAGATAAAGACCCACAGGAGTTTCTTTATTACTCTGCAGCCCAAAAACCTGTCAAATAAAGTAAGAGTCTCAATTGCCTAACTGAGCTCAAAACAGAAAACATTTAAATTAAGGATAATAGGAAATTTAAAATATCAATGCTCTATAATTTGAAAAAAACAAGCTGTCCTTCCCAGTAAATACCTTGGACTTTATTTTACAAAAAAGGTATGCACTAAAACTTTGATATGAAATTTCATAAAAAGTTTGTGAGAATGGAGAAGATTAAAATGCATTCATTTCATTCAATTTGAAATAACATACCTTACTAAAAAATCCAACGCTAGTGGGCTTATAACTAACTACATCATTGTACAATCTTTGTAGATGCTCAACAATTTGCCTCTGATGTCTATCAAGCTTTAACTTTCCACTTCTGACTGTTTCATCATATTTTTTCAGAGGGCCTGCCTCTTGGTTATTAACATTTGGGTTTGGTACACCAAGAAAGTCATCTGAAAAAAATAAATAGCATGAAAGCAAGATTTTTACTTCTCAACATTTTTTGGAATCTACTACAATTTTTTTAATTCTATACAGATATGTGCTACAGGTATTGAAAAAACCTTGTCGATAATTTGGCCACTTTTACATGATCCTGAAATGTAAAATTACTAAGTTGAGCTTTTCCTTATAAGTAAGTGAGTGCCCAAAAAGGTGTCTGCTCCACAAGAAGATATCCTGAGAGGCCACAAAACAAACAATTGCACACGACTCTTGATCACAAGGAACATATCAGTTGGTGTTACAAAGATGCCATATACCTGAGTTTGTCCAAGAACTCTAGGATTTCTTTTTAATCCTTGACATCCTTATATCAGTATGTATATTCTCCATACTGTTCTCCATACATTCTCCTTAGTACTGACAAGAGAATTTGTTTAACAATCATGAGATTTTTTATTCTGTGATCGTTTCCTTTATTCTTATGAATAAAGAGTGCTTCACTCAGTGGTACAATGTGAGGAGAAATTAGATGCCAGTCACTCTCTGCGTGTGAATTTCAATTTTTATTTCAATAAACCCGACTGGCCCTTGAACTTTTCGTATTTGTTGTGAGAGGCCTGTTAAGGCAAAGAAATTGAATTTGTAAAAATATTCTAACAGCATTTGATATGAAAATCAAATTACCAAGCGCAAGATTTAATCCAGATCTTGTTCGTTCCATCAGATGCTCACATATAAATACAAATAAAAATACACTTACTTGCTGTTCCACTCAAAGCGGAGGAATGGCGGCGAATCCTGATTGAAATTCGAAGGAAATCTCTTGAGGAACCACATCTCGAGGCAGCCATTTCTCGTATGACGTAAATAAAGTAGTTCCCAGTACCATACGATAGCTGACAACTGAACTAAGCTGCGTGGTTACTAAGAACTTGTTTCTAAAACAAATGTTGGGTATAGCGAAAGGCGCCGTTGTAATTAATTATGGCATTATTCGACAGGCTTGCGATCTGGATGGGCATCAGAAAGAAGGAAATTAATGTCCTTTGCATCGGTCTTGATAACAGTGGAAAAACAACGATAATCAACAAACTGAAACCCGCCGCGGTAAAGAGATCTTGGATCATTAAATGAATCACAAGTTACGTCAATTGATCGATCGAAGGACTTCCCTAATTGTTTCTCCTATTTCAGTCTCAGGCGCAAGACATTGTTCCAACTGTAGGATTTACAGTGGAAAAGTTTATGTCACAAAGGTTAGTCTATAAAATTCGCTTTTCTTAACTACAATTAGTAGCCTTCATTTAGTAAGTGCGAGGTTCGCACGCCTTAGGATACTGCCACCGGTACCGGACGACAGGCAAAATCAATTTCTTAACACAACTTTAATTTATACGTGTCTGCTTCCTTAATTATAGCTGGAATTTTCGCACCCCGTTCAATCATATCGTGTTATCGGTCGAGGCTTAAAATACTGAACTCAAGTAAATTCTATTTGTGAAGCAAGTTCATCTGATACTGCACGCTAGAATTACAGTAACATTAAATTACAGTATGAAATATGCAAGGTTTTCCTGTGTGGAACATAGTCAAATCTTTTTTTTTGTCAATTTTTCCCAGGAACTTGCTGATTTCACACATTTGAATACCTCTGTGTACCTTTTTAATGCCTGTGGTAGTCAACGAAGAAAATCTGACGAGCTACTTTCATTTTTCTGAGAAACCAGTGTTTTCTTATTTTACTTTGTTGTTAGTGACACAGATTAATTCTCTCCGTGTATCAAAATCTAAAAGCATTCATACATTGTAAATTGCTTTTGTTTTATTTGGTTGTGCCTGTTTTGCAGCCTCACCTTTACAGTTTTTGATATGTCTGGTCAAGGAAGATACAGGACTCTATGGGAACACTATTACAAGTATGTGTATGATAGCCAATTTTTTTTTTCTTAATAGTAAGTTTTGTCTGCTTATAACCATGTAAAAAATGGTCTGATTTAAATATTTTTAAATTCAGAAATATATAAGAGACCCTAGTATCAGGTTAGAATACATATAATATTACCATGATTTACATCAATTGGTAAAGAAAATAAAAGACCCAAAGGCTTTTAAGCTTCACAAGCAATACAAGATAAATGAGGGTAACCTGGAGAGACAAGTGTTAACCCTAGAACTCCCAGAAGTGATTAACATGTAACTTCTCCATAAAGTATCCATATGATATCCAGCAGAGAGGTAGTGAGAATACTCAAACTTATCAGGTAAAAGGTATTATATTGATTGAACACCCAGTTTTCATAACCAATTTACAAGGAAATGTGTAGCTGCTAGAGGGGAGAATTAACGATCAGATATTATGAGTTAAAGGGTTAAGTTTGTTTGTTTCATTCCTCAAAGTGTGCAAGTGTTGTCCTAACTTGTTTACATATCATGAATTTGAAATTTGGAAGTGAGCCATTTTACATCTCATACAGTGAGAGCTGAAAAGAAAGGGAGATGAGATCTTACTTATATCCCTTATTTGTCTTCCTAACTTCAGCATTATATTTTGTTAAATTTCAGAACTGCACAAGCAGTAATATTTGTGCTGGACAGCAGTGATCAGCTAAGAATTGTGGTAGCCAAAGAGGAGTTAAATATTTTATTACAACACCCAGGTGAGACTGATACTGAACATTTATTAAACATCTGCTAAAATATGCATGTAATGGAATATAATTATATTTCTCAAATTAAAGTTTAGTATAAGATTAGGTGGTCGAATGAGCATCCTTAATGAATCTTTAATGTTTATACAATCGCAAAAATTTGCCCAGATAGAATCTTCAATTTTCAAATAAAACTAATTGTAGCAATCTATTCTAAAATATAACTTATGGTTGGATTATTATGATTGTGTATCAAAATATTCAAGTAATATAGTTGTTTATTTCCAGAAATTGCTTCAAGAAGAGTACCTATTTTATTTTTTGCCAATAAAATGGATTGTAATGGTCTCTCACCAGTGCAGGTATGATGCTAAATAATTTTAGTAGAGATGTTTTATGAATGTAAATGACAGGTAACACTGAAATAATTCGCAGTCTTTTTAACTTAATCCTTTGACCCCTTGGAGTGACTAATATCTAATTTCTCCTTTTGATATCACCCCTGAATCACACACTAAGGTCATGAGAATAAAGGAGATGATCACCAACTAAATAAGCTCTTGACTGTTAAACAAATTCTCCTTGTCAGCATCTTAAGAAATGTATAGAGAACAGTATGGAGATTATGCATACTGATGTTGGGGTGTTAAGGGTTGAGTGACTGCAGTTTGCATAAAGAACACAATCTGTGCCCTTAACAACCCTCCATCTGGATATGTGCTAAATTTATAACCAGGAACATACAGAAAGAATCATACCACTGGATGCAAATTATCAGGGACTGTAATGTAGTCATAGTTAGATTCCAATTGCTGCTTAACTCCATC